GGGGGGGGGGGTGTAGGGTTACGGGCCCCCCCCGGGGCCCTCCAGCCCTTGCTCAACCCCTGTTCCCGCTGGAGGGGATCCCAGAATAGCAGCGGGGACGGGACGGCCCGGCCAGGGGACACGGGACAAATGCCCACAGGCAGCTGGGGACACCCCCAGGCAGCCTGACCCCCTCTCCTTGCCCACTTCACCCCACTCTGGCTGTGCCCCCCCAACCCTGGGGGCTGCAGGGGACAAGAGGGGTCTTGAAAGGACCACCCGGCCACACCACGGTCCCCATCATCACCAGGCGTGGGAAGCTCTGAGGATGCTGATGGTGGTGGGGGGGCTCCCAGCCATCCCCCCACCAGGCTGGGGGTCCCTGGCAGGCGGGTGGCTCCCGGCCGAGGAGCCCCTGCGTGCCAGCGGCACGGAGGCGAGCGTGGGCCGCCTCCCCGGTGAGCATCTCACTGTCGCTAAATACGGCCACGCACCATCTGGGGCTGCCGCACGGCTCATTTGCAGCGCGGCCCCCCCAGGAGCGAGGGCGAGAGCCGGGGGGGGCGGGCTGCTGGGTGGTGGGTGTGAGACCCCCAGCACCTGCCTCGGCTGCAGCGAGGAGTACGGGTGCCCGAGTCCCACCTCCCATCATGGCCGGGTTATGGGGGGCTTGGACATGACCCTGCTCTGGGGAGTCCCCTGCCTGTCCCTGCCTCAGTTTCCCCTCCCAGGGGATTTCAGCCACATCTCGGCGCCTGTCAGAGCCCCAGTTCGGCAGCACTTGGTGGTGTGGCAGGGCCCTGACAGCCAGTCTCGGGCGGTGGCAGCAGGTGACAATGCTGATGTCCCCTCCCTGCCTTTACAGCTCCCTTTTTTTGGGGTGTCCCTGCAGGGGAAGACCTGATGGGGGTTCCCCTCATCGGGGGCTCACACTGTTGGAGGGCTCGGCTGCATCAGCCCCTTGCCAGGCTGTGGTACAGTGTCCCCGTGTCCTGCAGGGTTGTCCCCAAGCCTGTCCAGCCCCACCCTCCAAAAGGACCTTGTCCCCACGGACCTTCTGGAGTCCCCTGTGTCCCCACAGGTCCTGTGGCTCCTTGACCCCCATCTCTGCCAAGAGCATCCATCTGCCCTGGCCCTCCTGGGTGCCACCCATGGGTGCCAGGCCTGGCCCAGGGCTTTGTCCTGCATCTCTGCCTGGGTCCCCAACTCCACCCTCAGCACAGCATGTCCCCAAGGCTGGAGGGGACCATCCAGGGGTCTTTGCTCCGTCACGCTTAGAGATGAGCTGGGCCCATCCCGTTTCCATCCCTGATCCCATTCTGGTCTCCAATCCCGTTCCCATCCCAGCTCCGCCCTGGGATCAGCCCCCACCCCAGGCCTGGTGGGAGCAGCCCCCCAGCGATGCTGTGCCCGCCGCAGGCTGCCAGGGCCGGGCTCCTGCCGCTCTCGGCCGTGGCGCTTCTTAATCGATGGTGGAGATTGATCTAAAAATAGCGGCAGCAGGAGAGCGTGATGCCCTGGCCAAGCTGGGAAGGGAGGGAGGGAGGGAGGGAAGGACGGAGGGAGGACCGGAGCATCCCTCCCCAGGGCGTCGGGGCGGGAGCCGCCCGGATGCCTGGGTCCCCCACCCAGTCCGGAGCGGGAAGGGGAGCGCAGCTTGGGGTGCTCAGCTCTATCTGGGTGACCTTGAGTGGGTGGCACCGTTGTCCCCCACTCCATCCCCATGCCGGGGGGCCACTCTGTGGGGCACAGCCCTGCCCCACACCTAGGGGAGACTTTGGAGGTGCTAGAGCAGCCCGGGGGTGGCTCTGGCTTCCCCGGGGTCCATCAGTAGGGGCTGCAGGGCCAGATCCAGCTCTGGAGGTTGCCCGACCCATCCCAGCCCCATCGCTGGGTGTCTGGGGGGGGGGGGGGGTTTGG